AAGCATTGTTCACAATAGTCAAGAGGTAGAAGCCACCCAAATATTCACTGAGGGATACATGAATAAATAATGAATATATGTGGTATATACATGCAGTGAAATATTATTCGGCCTTTAAAAAGAAAGAAATCTTGTCATATGGCACAAGGATGGAGGTTAGAGACATTACGCTAAATGAAAAATGCCACTTACAAAGAGAAATATTGTACGACTCTACTTACATGAAGTATCTAAAGTAGTCAAAGTCACAGAAACAGATTAGAATGATGGTTTCCAAGGGCTGGGAGAAGGGAGAATAGGAGTTGTTGTTCAGTGGGTATAGACTTTATTTTATAAGATGGGAAACTTCTGGAAATCTGTTGCATAGCAACATGAACATAACACTATTACACTGAAAAAAAAAAGTAATAAATGAGTCCTTATCTTTTCAATTTAGACACTGAAAAATGTGTGTATAAAATATCATTATGTCTGGGATTAACTTCAAAATAATCTTGGGCAGCCTGGGTGGCTCAGCGGTTTAGCACCACCTTCAGCCCAGGGCATGATCCTGGAGACCCGGGATCCAGTCCCACGTCCGGCTCCCCTGCATGGAGCCTGCTTCTCCCTCTGCCTTTGTCTCTGCCTCTCTCTCTCTCCCTATCTCTCTGTCTCTCATGAATAAATACAATCTTAAAAAAAAATAATCTGAAGGTTGCTTGGAGGAGAGGGTGAAAGTATACACGAAGACTGGCATCAGTTGACAGTTCTTATTAAAGCTGAGTGGGTTCATTATACCATTCCCTCTACCCCATGTAGGTTTGAAATTTTCCAGAATGGAGGAGTTAAAAAACAAACAAACAAACAAACAAACAAACAAACAAACATTATCAAAATGAAAAATTAATCAATAAAAGTGCTAGATAAGAAAGTCAAGGAAATATCCCACATTGTATAATGAAAAAAGATTAAAAGAACAGGGAAAGAAAGCTAAGAGACATACAGGACCTCCAGAAGGTCATCCAATCATAGGAGCACCAGAAAGAGAAAATAAACAATGGAAGACAGGAGAAAATGGTGTATTTTTTTGTTCATCAGCTGGATGTTATTGCACTTCTATTGGTAGGAGTATAAATGGGCAGTCATGTGAGGGCATCAATCTGATTATATCTTAAAATGAAAATATCTGATATCTTGCAACTGAAACCTCTTTTATCTACCCTAGAAAAAGTCATACCTGCACATAGTAAATATTCTTAAATAAATGACTAATTATTTTAATTAATTAATAATTTTATTATTTAAATAAATTCTGGTTATTTAGATTGGCTCCTCCTCCTCTCATTATCTAGGAGCAAAGATTACTTCCTGGACCTAATACCACTCACCCTAGAACCTCAAATTTTGTATTGAAATGATCGTGTGGCTGACTCTCCTTTGGGAAGTAACAAAACATTTTGTAGGAGTATTAATTTGAAAAAATAAAATAATCCATTCAATCAAAAAAACCTGGTTATTTAATTAAATTCAGGTGTATCCATATAATGCAAAATTCACGGAAAGAAATGAAGTATGTGCAGATATAATCTCCCATATACATAATTGATAAAAATAATTTACAGAACAATGTTTAATATTGTTTTTTAAAAAGATATAAATTTTATACAGCTAAAGAGAAAACAGATTATAATTACTTTTTATGTACATGAAGTTTCAAGTAATACATTAACAATACCTCTTTGGGGGGCAGCCCGGGTGGCTCAGCGGGTTTAGCACCGCCTTCAGCCCAGGGCGTGATCTTGGAGTCCCAGAATAGAGTCCCATGTAGGGATCCCTGCATGGAGCCTGCTTCTCCCTCTTCCTGTGTCTCTGCCCCTCTCTCTCTGGGTCTCCCATGAATAAATAAATAAAATCTTAAAAAACAAACACACACAACGTTGGCTTTGCCAGGTTCTCCAGTATAGTTAGATCTACGTGGTTACTTTTTGGTTGAAGGACACATTTAGAAAGGTCATGCATGCCCCTGAGGATTCACATATATTTCTCCAAGTGTCATTTGACCTAATACCATTGGCTAGCAGCAGTGTACCCTACACTGTGGGAATGGAGGTCCTAGTGTGAAAAATATATGCCCTTAGCCAGCCAGTCTTGGTTTGGTCAGAAAATGTCTTCCAGAGACAAAGGAACATACATATATATTCTCGAGATAGATACTCTAAGTATTTTACACATGAGAACTGAGGCCCAAAGAAATCTCTTACCAAGCCCACATATCCAAAATAACCATGTTTTGAGTTGATGGTACAGCCAGGAATCTCCTTCTACGTTCTCTGGCCTCTTCACTTTATATCCAGAGTTTACACATTTGCACTTAAGGATGCCAGGTAAGATGTGATCCAGCAAATGCACAGCCATGGTGGTTTCTGCTGCCTTATGTTTAGCTCACGTTTGTAAAACAGCAGCAGTACTCTGAATCCAAGGGAAATGAGGTAAGGACTGGAGAGGCCCCCCATTTCCAACATTTCTTTACATGCCTAATCCATACAAGTTGGCCTCTCTCAGAATCATTGGCACCATTAGCACTACTTAACCTACCTTTAGTTGGTTTCTATATATTCCAAGGTCCTGCAGGTGGTTTGTTTCCAAGTAGTTCTTAAATGTTTGAGGAATTGAAGGCAATAGCAGTTCCCAAAACTTTAAATGCTGTATTCTGGCTGTATTACAGGCTCTCAATATTACCTATTAGCTTAAATACAACTCCCAACAATCTGAGTGGGAAGAATTACAATTGCTTATGTATTAGTTACTTTGGAGTACATCACTTAAAATTCAGAACTGTTATGAAGGCCACAGAGCTATTCTTTCAACAACATCTCCTGATTTACTGAGGCATACTTTTCCCTATTCTGTAGTCCTAAGTGGCTGTTTTCACAGAATTGATTATTTTCTCAACCAGTTCTCGGGGTATTAAGTATATTCCAAGACTTCTACGTTGCAGTATATTTAGATCATCAAAACAAACTTGCAAGTACCTGCATAGAAGTCACACATTACCAGGCACTTGTTTTAAAATGATTTTAACTGCTAACTAAAGAGCTCTCTTAGCAGTCCTCAATGTAAAGCTTAAAATTGGCTGGAAAAACAGGCCAGTAGCTCACCATCTGGCTTCTGATTAATAATTCCTTCACTTCCTTTTTAAAAATATTTTGAGAGAGAACACAAGAGGGCTGGTATAGAAAGGCTGAGGGAGAAGCAGACTCCCCATTGAGCAGGGACCCCAATGAAGGGCTCCATCCTGGGATTCCAGGATCATGACCTGAGCCCAAAGCACACTTTGGGCTGACCTGAGCCACCCAGGCACCCCAATAATTCCTTCACTTCTAAACCACGAACACCAGTTTCTTAGGATGAATCACTGCTCACCTCAGGAGACCTACCTAGACTCATATTGTGGAATTCTTCAAACACTATGCTTTTGGCCCAATGTTTACTGAACAGTTAATAAGTAAAATCTTTTACCAAGCTTATTAGTCAAAAAATACCTGGGATTGAGTTTATCAACTTGGCGTATTTCTAGATTCAGTTCCACTCAAATCTCTTAAGTCCGAATTTTCTGAAATCTGAGAAAAAAAAAAAGGTGAATCCAAAGGACTTGGATGTTGAAAGTAGTGAGATAGGGGATGTGGATTCAATTTTTGAGTGACCCATGTGGTTGCATGGTGAACATGGATTGAGCACACACGTTTTGGGGAGGGAAGAGGATTTGCATTTTAGACGTCAGGTTTGAGCTATGTGAGATGCAGGTCGTCTAGTACACAACTGGATGTACAGAGCAATCTCAGCTGAAGTTCAATTTGAACACACACGGTAACTGAGGACAGTGGACAACAGTCTAGAGTATGGTTTAAGCCCAAATCCGGAGAAAGGCATGAACTTCAGGACTATAATCTTATTCTAGCATAGCAAATGTGATCACAACATTATCTATTATCGTGCCAATAGGGGATGGCACGGAACATGCTTTCCTCTCCTAAAGTTAACATAAATATATTATTATTTATAGACCATGTTAGTATAATTCCGTATTGGATTTAAATTCCAAGGACCGTCTATAAAACAGTGTTCTTTTTTTTTTTTAAATTTTTTATTTATTTATGATAGGCACACAGTGAAAGAGAGAGAGGCAGAGACACAGGCAGAGGGAGAAGCAGGCTCCATGCACCGGGAGCCCGACGTGGGATTCGATCCGGGGTCTCCAGGATCAGGCCCTGGGCCAAAGGCAGGCGCCAAACCGCTGCGCCACCCAGGGATCCCAAAACAGTGTTCTATAGATATAACCAAAATGTTAACAAATACTGGATCTATTTTAAAACCTATTAATTTGGGACACCTGGGTAGCTCAGTGGTTGAGCATCTCTGCCTTTGGCTCAGGGCGGGATCCTGGAGTCCTCCACCGGGCTCCCCATATGGAACCTGCTTTTCCCTCTGCCTCTCATGGGGAAAAAAACAAAACTATTAATCTAAAATACAATCTGAACATTTCTCAGCAAAATTGCTTAATATAAGGGCCAGTATTTCCAGAACATTTTAAAACTTGCAAGGCTTACTCTGGCCCAAAGAGGAAGGACTATTAATTGGCAGAAACCACTATTTCCCATGTTAGTTACCTGCCCATGTAAGCAGCACCCTGTATCTACTAAGTCAGAATTTTGGGGGTAGAACTCAGATGTCTTTTGGAAAAGCTCCAATATGCAGCCAGTTATGAACCACACCATACACCTTTATCAATACTAAGATCACCATGTATTTTAATACAATTCAGTTTTTAAGTGATGTCAGGTGTCAACTGCTTTAGTGGCCTCTATGACATACGATGAAAACAGGATAGATCACCCACCTTAGGACCTTCATCTAACTTTGACTACTCCAAAGATAGACTATAGATTTCACAGCACAACTCTGTATTCCTAAAATTCGTTGGTATGATGAATGTCAACAAGACTTAACAACAACAAAAAGACTTAACAACAGATAATCAATTTATTAAAAAAGGTTGATTTAAGCATCTGCGATGGTGACTTCAACCTCGACTCCAGGCTCAATACTGATGGAGGTAATCTGCTTAACAATCTCAGAAGGACTGTGCAGATCAATGAGTCGCTTGTGGATCCTCATCTGAAAACGATCCCAAGTCTTAGAACCTTCACCACAAGGAGTCTTTCTCGTAGTGATTCTCAGAGTCTGCGACAAAAGAAACCAACCATTTATGGTTTTATACTCATCCCCACGACATCTGGAAAATCATCAGTCTCACATATTTCATTTGAATACTTCCCTAAAAGTTCTCAGACACCACTGATAACGGCCAGTGCGTTTTTTCCCTCAGCCTGGACAGCGCTCTTAAAAAACACCCCACCCCACCCCACCCAAGGGACAACAAGTTACCTGTGAAAACCAGCTACCTAACATGAACTCAGTCCTACCCACAATTTTTCTTTCAGCGTCTGTGTTCTCTGCACCCCGGCTCACCTTGGTAGGCATCCGCACTGGTCCTTTCACTTTGAGATTCTTTTCCTTTGCACCTCTGATCAAGTCGGCACACACTACAGGAAAATAAAACCGTCTTTCAGTTCGTTCGGAACAGTCCAAGGCGGCGTTAGGAAACTTTAACTCCTGCTGGCTCAGAATAGCGTACAGAACTATCATCGTTATTCAACACAGTAATGGTCTCCTCATCGCCAACAAAGATCTAAAAGACACGGTAGCGGTTACGGATAAATCATGCTTCCCTTCCCTTTTAGGTTAAGCAACTTGTCGCTGGACTGGAGTCAGGAGCGTGCAGCGATAAAGCCAAACTCCTTATTTTGGGGGTTTTTCTGCGCCAACGTCTCACCCTGAAGGTATCGTACTGACCCTTTTCCAAAGATTTTACGTTGCGGCTGGTTAGAGTGATTCTAATTCGGTGAATCGCCACCTCTGGTTCTACGGGCGTCTTCCCAGTGTCTTTAAATGCCTGTAATCACACAAACGAAACACATTCTCTTAAAAGCCTGGACGCGGCCTTCATCAAGAGACCTCTCAGGCTGCTCCACCATCCCATGAGCCCCTCTACTAGGCAAGTGAGGCTCGGACTCCCGCCGCCGCCTCCTCCCATCCCGGAATCCGTCCCCAGAAGGGACCAAGTCCCGCCGCGTCACGGACCCCGCGGCGCCGCCGCCCGCCTCACCATGGCTGCGGCGCGGCTTCCTGACCGACTTGTTCCTCAGCGAACAGCGGTGAGTCAGGAGCAGGAGCGGGGCGCCGGGAGCTCCGCTCTCGATGCGACCGCGTCTTCCTCAAAGAGAAAGGCCGGAGGCCTGCGTAGCGCTTATATAGCTGCGCTCTCGTCCGCATCCGGGTCGCGCACGCGTCTCCGCGCTGCCCCGGAAGAGGAATCGCCCAGACGGCTCGGGAGGCGGCTGCGCGAGCCGGGGCTGGAGTACCCGTGGAGCTGGCGGGAAACGCGCGGCTGCGGCCGCCCCCTTTCGGTCCGGCGGAGACAGAGCCCCGCGAGGTGGCGTCGCCGCCGGGCCGGTTTCCGTGGTCCTCGGGCCACCCGGGAGGGAGGGATGACGGGGAGACTGCGACCCGAAGCCTGAGAAGCTCCTCTGCCTGCTGCGCCTACCCCGGGCGTCTGCGAAGTCAAACTGACTCCTGCGGCTTTTACAGTGCAGGTGTTGCCTCCTCTACAAGCCGAGTGGCTCGTTCTCTGAGCAGGTGGGTAACTTAGTTCCGAGTTCAACTCACGTGGATATTAGGGAAAATGACTGACAACCTGGGCGTGCTGCCCTAAGCTCCAGCAGGCAGTTACTGTTCACAGCCTGAAACACAACGGCCGTGATGCTCTGCCTTCTGGCTTCCCAGAGCGGCAGCAGCTTCCAGTCGGTTTTCAGGAAGCACCTGACCTTGGGTTCGTTCCCTCCGCGAAGGCTGCTGGGTTGTGCTGGAGCAGGTGGTGCATCGGGGGCCCCTCCTGGACACCCGCGCCGGCTCCCTAACTCCCCTGTCTGTTGGGATAAGACCCTACAAGGTCCCCCTGATTGATACCGAGTGTAGGAGACAGAGCACAGTGGAAAACCCAAGAGTAGTCCACTGACTTGGGTCTCGACAGGAGCGAGAGCATAAGGAGGACACGAACAACTTAAAGGTGACGGAGTGGTCAGAAGAGGCTGGCTTTGGTTCAGGTTCAGGGCAGAAGGAAGAGTAAATAACCTCATTATTTTGCAGGCGAACGTTAATGCAGAAGACTTAATGTGCTCAGACACACAAAACTCGTGAATGAAAGAGATCTGACCTCCCCCATGAGGGCTCCTCTCCCATTAGGGAGCCTCTCTCTTCTGTTCCGCGAAGGGAGATTATACTTGAAACTTTTATCAAATAGTAGCACTAACCTATTTGGTCATAATTGGGCTTAGCTAATCGCTGGCCTTCTTTGGCTCACCAAAATAGGTATACTAGATTTTTCTGCCACTTAACGATTAATTGAAATGTTAGAATGGTTCTATTTTTAGTTCAGTTATTCTAAGTGTCTGTCATCTGGCTGTAAAAACCCTGTTAGTAGAATTTGCAGCAAAGAACTGAAAGCCTGCATTCTTGGTTTACTAGCTATAACCCAGGTGAGACGTTGTAACTTAGGGCTTTAACTTATTGCCATGGCTACCAGGGAATGCTTGGGAAATATATTTGTGATTTTTTTTTTTTTTTTAGGAATAAATCTGGTACAGCTACTCTTAGGTTTCCCTTTCCTTTCAAGTACTTGAGAAAATGGTGGACAAATTAACTTCCTTGACTATAGAAAAGAATTTCAGTATAGAAAAAGGCTAAATGTAGCCCAGTATGTATGGGAAGAAATTGTGGATGTGACTAGAATGAAGGAAACAGCTGGTTGAGATAATGTTAGAAAAATGTAATGAAAGCATCACTATTTTCAAATTTATGTTTGGTTCAGACAGTTTGTTATATTTCTCTCTTAAATTAAAACTTAACTGCCTCTGTAGTCCCCACATTTTCATTAAAAGTGTAATGTTCCTACATAATGTAAGATATTGGAGAAAAAGTAAAAATTAACAATTTATCCAAAAGAAGAAGAAAATACAGTATGCCTTAGGTCCTTAATGCCTTAGATCAATTACTAGGTATACATATCCTTTGATGGCTTATCAAGGGATATGCATATTATAAAATTGTAAGTACTTTTGGTGTTAAGTAAGTTGGCCTCTGGCAAAGTTATACCCAAAAAGATACTTCCTCCAGCAGTGTAATGAAGATCTTACTGTGAAAGATGGACTTAAATATCTGTTTTATTTTAAAATTAAAAAATATTCTTAAGACCATTGCAAACTTTATGTTTTCAACATCTCCATTCATAGCCTTCCTTTTCTGATTTTTGTAGGTCTTTTAAAACCATCTCATAAAAACTTTTACTGTAGGTATTTGTTCCTTTCTGTGGACAGCCATCTACTGGTCTTTTGCTGCAATGACAGTGTCATCATATTCCTTACAAAAGGAAATTAACAGCTTAAAAACTACTTAATTCGTGGTACACATTAGTGAAATAAAAAGAGCAAAATTTCAAGTGAATGTGTCAAATGTCTGTTTAGACATTATTTTATTTGCAGAATTTTTATCTAAATAAATTTGTGTTGAAATTTAAGAATAAAGTCTGAAATTTAACAATAAAAACCAGAGAGTTTAAAACTTTCTCTTGTGGTTACCCATGTTGTATTGATAGGGGAGTGAAATGTGGAGGCAATTCCTTGTGGTTTACAAGGATTACGTGTGAGGACTTGAACAATACTGGGTACATGACAGCATTAATTAATTACTATTACTGTATTAATTAATATTACTGTATTAATATCCATTTGTTTGATCCTCACATCAACCCTGGAGCGTAAGTGCTGTTATTCATATTTTATGCATGAGAAAGCTGAGGTTAGGTGACCTGCCCAAGGTCACAGGAAAAGCCGGTGTTTGAACCTATGCAGTCTAACTCCAAAGTTTGTGCTCTTAGCCACTATGCTATGGTGTCTCTTACTGTTTGTCTCTTACTGTATATTAGCTCTTACTGTTATCATTAGTAGCTGTACGTATCTGTGAGGTGTAAAATCCTATTATGTTGGATAAAGTAGCATAGCAAGGCTGTCTCTATTTTACCTTAGTTGAGGTTAGAAATTTTATTGAGCTACTAATATGTGTCCTTTGTAAGGTTGAATCCTTATTTTTTTTAACTCTTCATTTTTTTGGTTTGAAGTCCTATAGATACCCAAGGCCAGTTAATTCGATTTGCTCATTAAAATCATTTCACTAAAGTGAGCAGTGGAACAGAACTAGGGACACAGATCTTTTCATTGAGAATGATTCATATGGAACATGCATTGGGTTGATAATTTTTTGATCACATTTAACTGCAGAGCTCAAACAGTTCTCTGTAGGGGTAGAAATGTTCTATTCACCAGGCCTTGTAGTACTTCTTTCCCCTCTTCCTTTCTCATGTTCCCAGGCCTGCAGGCCTAGAGATTCTAATGTTTCTTGAAATGCAATTTGAAAAGTTGGTCTACTCCTGTCACATAGTGCCATTTCCTAGTTTTAGCAGAGAACCTGCAGAGGACTCCCATGGTCACATTTTTGGGATCCTGATATCATGCAGGGGAGCCAGGGATAGATTTACCCATCAATCATTTCCCCCTGAGGTTGTGCTTTTCATGATGTATAGAATTGGTACAACTTTTTAGAAAATGCCATTTGCCTCCCTTTATGAGAAGATTGAAACCTCTGGCTTTCATGACACAATTCTGCTGCATTGCTGTGTGGTGGACAGCCTCAAATGTAACCCCACAGAGATCTCCACCACCTGTTACTCATGCCCCTGTGGAATCTCCTCCTCTTGAATGTGGAAATGTGTAAGATGCTCTAAATGCTGGAATATGGCAAAAGTGCTGGGATGTCACTTCTGTGAATAGATTGAGTAGGGTTCTGACTTCCATCTTCCTGGCAGACTTTCTCTCTTGCTAGCTTTGTTAAAAGCAAGCTGACATGTTGGGAGGTGCTATAGGGAGAGGACCCCAGGCAAGGGAATGAGGGTAGTCTGTGGTCAACAGCCAGCATGAATTGAAGCTTTCAGTCCAATAGCCCCCAAAGAACTGAATAATTGTGTGACTTTGGAAGCAGGTATCTCCTTGGTCGAGCTTTCAGATGAGACCTCAGCACTGGCACCCCTTAAGTATTAAGGTACCTCCCAAGGCCTGGTTCTGGGTCTGATGAACACATGTAGGAGAGGCAGCTGCAGTGCAGCAAAGGGGACACTGATAGGAGTTTTGAGGACATGCTTAAGTCCACTGCTAGGGCAGCCATCTCTCATGAGTCATCTTATCTACATGGGCCTCAGTTTTCTCATTGTAAAAGGAGGGTGCTGGACTATGTGATCTTCCAACTTTAAAAGGCTATTGCATGGAAATAAACAGATCCGAGAATATCTCTTCATCACCAACATATTGCCAGACATTCAAGATGGCTTCTGTCCTTTGTCCCTCCTTTGGGCTACCCAACACCAGAGGGAGGAGGCTTGAAATAGCAGAGGAGACTCCCTCTCCTCATTTCAAGTCCTTTGGTCTCAGGTGGCCATTCATCTGCTATGGCCAGGATAGCCTCAGTACATCATGACCAAGATGTTACTATTACTATTACTAGTGCTAACTTTCACTCAAGAGTGCTCCTATCTGGAATATAGATGTTATAGTTTCCTTACTCAAGTACAAGTCTAATTGGTGATAGCAAGGACAAAGCTTTGAATTAGATCAGTTTAGGGTTTCAAACTGAATTTGACTGCGTTCAATAACCTGAAGTTACCAGAAAGTCATTGATTCTTTCCTAGATTTTAATTAAGGGGTGGGAAAAGATGAGTGACACAATGCAGTTGAAACCAATAATTAGAAGAGAAAACATTTCCATGTTTATACCCCACTTGATGGGACTCCTCAAGAAATTAATTGACTGCTAAGAAAGACCCTCCATGTTCGGAGATAATTTTTTAAAATTATCCCATAGTTTCTTTATTTCTTTCTTTTCTTTCTTTCTTTCTTTCTTTTCTTTCTTTCTTTCTCTTTCTTCATGAGAAACACACACACACAGAGGCAGAGACACAGGCAGAGGGAGAAGCAGGCTCCATGCAGGGATCCTGATGTGGGACTCGATCCTGGGATCTCAGGATCACGCCCTGGGCCAAAGGCAGGCACCAAACTGCTGAGCCACCCAGGGATCCCAGGTTTTCATAGATCTTAAAAATCTATTAACATGGTGAATAAGTTTCTTAATATTGAGCCTTTTTTGCATTCCTGGAAAGAATCTCTCTTAAACATATTACAAGTGAGATTGTTTTTAAATTATGTGTGTCTGTATGTGTATTAATATGCTGGCATCAAAGAAACAAATTTGGAAGCTTCTCTTCATGCTGTGGAAAGTTTATATAGTAGTGTGGTAATGTGTAAGACTTGGTAGAATGCATGTTTTATTGAGAGGTGACTATAAAGTATAATTTCTTCTATGGTGATTAATTTTCCCTGATACCTCTGTTCCAGCATCAATTTTAGTGATTTATAATTTTCTGGAACAGTGCTTCTCAAACTTTTCATTCTTAGTAACTCTTTATATGCTTAAAAATTATTGAAGACCCCAAAGAGCTTTTGTTTAAGTGGCCCTATGTCTATTGGTATTTGTTA